ATTACCTTTAATGCATTTCGTCACAAAAACTTCCGGTTCCGCCCACTGGTCCATGGTCCGTGGAAGATTCCTTTAAGTATGGCCACCTGAATGTTTCTCCTCTAACCTCACCTTCACTGTTCCTTTATTGACTATGGAACATTAATCAACGGCGACTTAAGAAGGTTTGATTGTGTAGGTATATTCCTGGAAAGCACAGTGCTTTAAGCTTCTTGTGCTTCAAGTACACTGTTTTTCTGGCCCTAGAACGTATTATAACGTTTTTGGTACATAAAGAAAAATTTGAAATCGAACAGGGTTGTCACACTCAGTATTGGAGTACAATACAGCACCGTGCAATATGCTACTTTCTTCTGGGTTGCGAGGCTGATTTAATCGAGCCATTCTATGTCTTCACATTGCCTTCTCATAGTAGATGGTCATCTACACAAAAGACATGGAATAGTCGTACTCTTTGGTGCAATTCTAAATGCTAGCTTGTTTTTCTGAGCTGCTCATTGCACGAACATACCTGATTCCGTAGATCGTGGACGCAAATGGGCAGTAACACCGAAATGTCGGTTTTCACTTGGTGCTGATTTATGAGTTCTATGTTCGAACATGTCTTGCAGCTACATCTATTACGTGGAGAAGCACATTAAAGCGTTGCTGGATCTCGGCTGTCATGTAATCGTGGTGTTCGATGGTCGTCCCCTTCCTGCAAAAAAGGTATGCGTTCTGCTATCACTGAAGTAACGTTTTTCTACAGCTCCTAGTTTTGAGCTCATCCATAGCCGATGATTTGATGCGACACACGAGGAAAGCTCTCAGTATCTATTTAAGCCTGTGGATCTCCAAAATTGAAAATGAACTTCATCAATGCTCGTTTCATGGATCAGCTTTATTCCCCTATAGATTTTTGCAGGCTCAAACGTTGAGGAAGTTCAAAAATGAGTAGTAATCAAGGAAGAGCAACCAGACTTGAAGTGCCCTTTTCTTGGCTGCCGGGGATAGTGTCTTGAACATATTTTGATCTCACGAAAAAAGACCAGGGGCCGTAAGGTATGCTTCCCCGAAGGGTTGGGGGACGAAAATCCCTTTAAATTTTCTGTCTTCCCAACTGGGATTGTCCTGATAAAGGGCCTACATTTAATATATGTGTGTAGGTTAAAGTAAACATGCACTGAAAATGAAGAAACAGTATCGTTCAAAACAAAAAATTTAAAGGGACTTTCGTCCCCGCAACCATTCGGGGAAGCATACCTTACGGACCCCAGGCAAAACCAATTGAAAAGCGTTTTTCCTGAAGTGCAATGTCGTCAGTTTCTAAAAAACATAAGCAAAACTTCTGTTCTTTTAAAGCAACTGTGAAGAGACCTATGCAAGTGCAAGTGCCCCAAGTGGAATCATGAGCAGTCGTCATTAAACCATCACCATCAAGCAGAAGTGGCGGCGGGATTGGAGAACACCTTGCAGTATTGATCGGGCACTTGTGATTTCCGTGACCCGTCGCGTGAATCGCGCAAATCGCGAAAATCAGCGAAACCTGCGACGGATCGCGGACTCTGACACCAGCCTTACTCTTTCCGAAGGCGATCGCAAGCACCCGAGAATCTTTCATTTTTCAATGACGAGGATGCAGTAGCTAACCATAAGTGCGTAGTCATTTCGAGGAACATGATCTCACGGGATTTGTAAGTGCGTGGGACAAGGCAGAGGGGCAGAGATAGAAAAAGTACGAGAAGGAGATTCTCTGAGTACGCGACTGAAGCTATAGATGTTGGCAATAATTTGGAGGTCTGCATATGAGGATTCGAACCTCTGATGGCAATTATCATCACATTTGGCCATTCGCATGTAAGAGAATAAATGAACGGAGCTATAGGAATGATTCGATGGCAGCCATAATTATCCTGCACACCACAGTCGGAGACATTACAAACTAAATCCCATGAGTCGACTACCAAGCTTCTTAAGTCTTTGACTCGTTGTACCATTTAATAGCGCTGCTTTTCAGGATACAAATGACGACAGAAGACAGCGACGTGCCGATAATGTCAAGGCCGGTGAACTGCTCCTTGCAGAAGGAAAGCTTGACGAGGCGATGGAAAAGTTCAAACGAGCTACCTCTATCACTACCGACGTGGTAGAGAGTGCCATTCAGGTGTGTAACATAGTGCTACAGTTGAAACGGTGAAGTTTTATGCGGGTCTGTTGCAGCATTTTCGTAGTTTCACCAATGTGGATGTGATTGTTTCGCCTTACGAATCTGACGCGCAGTTGGCGTTTCTGGTGAACGAACATTTAGCTGATGTGGTAATAACTGAAGATTCCGATCTCATTGCTTTCGCTTGTGAAAAGGTCAGTTCCCAAATTCATGGCGAGAAAGATCTTAAAGCGGTGCCCTGTTTTCGGATTTCAAGTCACTGTAGTGCACACCACCACTCTCAGCTCAGGGCACACTCATATTAATTTCTAATTCTGACTTGATGTTCTTCAGTGGTTGGTCTCTGGGGATGTTTCTTTTTTGTTAGAATTTTGTAGTGCTTGAGTGCCTATTGTTTTCAGATAGTTTTCAAATGGAATTGTGAGCGAGGAGATTGCTTGATCTATGAGAAGAGTCAGTTGCCACGATGTTTCACGGGTGTTATGGGTTCGCGTTTTGACTTCACTAAATTCCGACGAATTTGTATTTTATCTGGATGCGATTATCTTCAGGTTGCTGATTTTTTTTACGTTGTAATACCGGTGGTTAATTCATGGGATGTTTTTAGGCTGGACTACCGGGTATAGGGCTTAACAAAGCTCTTTCTTTCTTTTCGAAAACCTCCAGAACAGATCTCCGTAAGGTAAAAAGAAAAAGTTGTGAGTACTCAAAGTAATTTCTACGTTTAGTACAATTTTGCAGTTACTACCTCGAATTCCCTCCTACCTCAACATGTCAAAGTTGAGCGTTCCAAAAGAATTTGTTGAAGAGTTCATCCGTGCCGAAAATACTTTTCTTTACCAGGTATCATTTACTCTTTTGCATGCCACTTTTTCAGCTTTCCATAACTCAATCTGACCACTGTTTCTTTTCCAGTGGCTTTTATCTTATATCTTCGCGCTTGCCTTATTTGCCAAGGGTTCAAGCCAGGTTGGGCTTTCCAGTAATTTCCCGAAACCTTTAATCGTGATGCAGCAGGTCCTCGCCAGCCGAGCAGACGCTTTACCCGTTATGACTCTTGTATCGATGCTTTTTGTTATTTGCCATATTCGAAAACCTAGTCATTGATTTCGCAGAAAAAAAGCAGATGCAGTTTAGAACACTCCCTTGGTCATTCTGGTTTTATTGCTTTATACAAGTGTTTGTGGAAAACTAAAATGAAATTTTTGCACATAGTTTTTAGGTAGTATTCGATCCTCGTCAAAGGTGCCAGCGACCCCTAACACCGTATCCGTATCCTCGACATGCTTCCAAAATAGATGAGGATGACGATGACGTGAGTTCAGTGTCAAAGAATACACACCACGAAGGTACCTGTTTTGAAAAAGCATCGGTACTGGTGGTATATTTCCGGCTGGCTTACAGCGATTTTTCCTTCAACATCTTCAATAGTTCTTCGTGATTTTATGAATAACCTTTTGCTACCCACCTAAATATTATGTTTGCAGTTCGCCAAACCCAATGTACAGTCATGTAACGATGAGAACTATTCTTATGCCGGTGAAGTGGTGTCGTCCAGCCTCGCAGTTCGACTTGCTTTGGGAAATCAGGTATTCGTATCCTAGAACATGTTCGAGTATGATAGTGCTTAGTTTCTGGTTGTCAGTGAGCGATATCCGACTGACTTATAAGTATTTTAAATTGTGCCACAAATAGCTAAGTTTTCTAAACTTTTGCCATTTGTGTCAATATATTTATATGCAGTGCGTTAGCTTGCTCTTTCGTTGTTCGTAAAGAACCTCCTTTACTCTTCCAAAAGAGTTGTGAAACCTTACGTTCCGCGCGTTCACCACAGCTGGATTTTCGGGTCTCTCCAACGACAGTCAAGAGGAGGAGCTTCTAAGAAATGTATAGCGTTGAAGCACCAGACGCGGTTAATAAAAGACTGGTCCAGAAATTTCGATGGATACTACAGGCTGGGAGGTCGAGTAACTCACAACTGGGGTTGTGAGCCAATCGAAGCCTCCTATTTGTCAGCAGTCGTGAATTTGCAGTAGATAGACAGTATTTCCAGACTGCCATAGTTCGCGCACACCGAGTTATCTGAATGCTGGAAAGATGCATCCGACAGTGCTGGGTGAGGCTGCTCCGAACCTAAGTGAATTTCTGACAAGTCTTGCTGTCCAGAAGTCGTTGCTTCGCTCACCTTGAGAACGCGTCACGTATTCATAAGAGCGTTGCTTGTGTTAACCAAATGCGGCGGTTCCACTGGATGGACGCGGCTCCAAAAAGTGACATTCTGCTTCCCGTTCGCTAGTATCTCACTAAAGATTGAAACTATGACATAACCGCTTGCGCAGACACCTGCTCCCTGCAGCTGCGCAGCCCAAGTTACCAATTTCGCTGTTGCAGCTTTTTGTAGGTGCTGGCTGATGGCTACTGGATGGCAACCCAAGACTACATATCGCGAGCAAAAGCCCGAAGACTGTAAAGAAACGCTTTTGGCTTCATGGTTCCTTCGCACTCACTACATTCATATCATCTCCTAAGGACAGAACACTGGTTCCCGTTCCTCTCCTCTAATCCAGACGAAGAACTACTACGGTTGTGAATATCTAAGACGAGCCTTCAATCATTCTTTGCTTCAAAGATTGCACAACTTCCAAAAAAGGCATTCTCTCGCGAAACTCCATAGTAGCCTTCTACACAAATTACATCAAACGATTTTGCTAGGGCAAACATGGTGTTCGAATTCCTTAACTCCATGCCAGTGCCCTTCTATGCTCTGCTGCTCGGTAATTGGTGCTTTGTCAATTGGAACCCTAAAGGATTTCGTCTCCTTCAGGTTTCCCACACTCTTCGATTGGAGGTCAGTTAGCGTTTTCGAGAAGAGTACGTTGCTGCTATGATGTTACGGTTGACGGTATGGCCGGCAAATTGCATCATCGGGTTGCTAGATGTGGCAGCTGGAATTCGCTTATTGCCCAGACCTCCGAACTTGCTTAAAGGAGGAATTCACGATTAGAATGAAGGTCGAAGAAGAAGAAATTGACCTAGTTGAGGGACCCACGGACCTCCTGAGGGTGCGAACTGACGCGCAATTCGCATGGAAAAATTTGACCTCGGCGACCTATCATGCCTCAAAGTT